AGCCACGAGGGGTGTACATGCTAAACTACATGGTTTCCCAACATGTTATCAACCACCATAAACTACTGGGAGGGTCATCTGGCATCCCAGGTATTTCCCTGTCTCACGCTGATTGGTGGTTGCTAGGGGGTTGCTATGGGTCCTCACCTAGCCTAACTGAGTCAGGGACACCTGGTGCTGCAGACCTCTCCTGTTATTTACAAACAACTCAGCAGGGTGGCTATCTGCCTAGAAAGGCTCTGTGGGATTTTTCCAAGGATAAGTGTCACGCCCCCTTCCTTAGGACAGGTCTTGGGGTAGAAGCTGTTGTTATTTATTTATTTTCAAAAAAAGAGTCACATCAGTTTCTCAAGACAGCACATAGGCAAGAGGTCCTGAACTGGCTCTTGGAGAAAGGAAGTAATAAAACTTGTATCTTCTGAGAAGCAGTTCATTCAGGTGTACTGAGGGCTGCTGTACATAACTTAGTATTTCTGTGCACATCTCATCTGCTCTTTGTACTCAGCACCAGGCACTATGCTCCCCATGGTGATCCACTCATGTATCTTGAGTCTGTTTCCACTGGGTTCACAAAAGATGGCAGAGGTGCTCAATATTGCCACCCTAGGAATGACAGAGCTGGGAATCCTGTGCATGCAGAATCTGTAGGAAAGTCATATTACAAGCTTTAAAGAAAACAGGTGGCATAAATAAGACTTTACTGCTTCTCATTAAAGATGAAAAGCATGATATAACACTAGTGCCAGTTATTTTATTTGATGATGCTTATTAATGGTATTTGTACATTTGTTTCCATTCCAGTTTTGTTCAGTAATGAGTGTGTAAACTGCATGTGTGAAATAAATGTAAATACTTATGTGGGAAAATAAGATGAGAGACATGAATGAGAAATCAGGCCTTTCTTATTGTCTCACCAGGATACACATTCACATTCTAAAAGGGAGAATAGTAAAAGAAAGAAGGAGTGATAGATATGAACCCAGTCAAAAATTGAATGGGGTAAATGCCATTAGAATTCAAGGGTCAAGAAAAATCCTTCTTCACTCAGTGCTGTACCCCTCAGTCTTGGTGAGGATGAGGTCCCACTGTATGGACTCCGACGAGGCAGTTTGGCCCCCACAGTTACTAGGGCTTCCTTGTAGACTGTTAGTCCAGGACGCAAGAAAAGACCACTGACTCCAGTTAAAATCAAATTAAAGCAAGCTTATTATTTCAACCAGCCGGGCTGCCTCTCCCCACAAAAACCATGGGAACAAGACAGCCCCACATCTTTCTTGCAGCCCAGCTTTATAGCCCAGAAAGTTACACAAAGTGGGATTACAGATAACAAAACTTTGACGAGCATAACATTTTTGCTGGTCCCGGCATCAGAATTTATGAAGGTCATTAGAGCCTCACAGAGGGTCGTTATTTGGCCAGAGAAGGCCAAGATTTATGAGGCGTCACTAAAGTTTCAGAGAGAGCTGCTATCTGGTCAGAGAGCCAGGCATGGGTAAGTTCAAGGCATGGGCAGGCATTCCAAGCAAATTCAGAAGTTGCAGTAATTTATAGTAAAGCCAAAATTAGCTTTTCATGGCTTTGTAGCAAGATGGCTCCCAATTTTAAGAGAAAATCAGGTTGGGTCAATCATAGACCTATCCATACTCCTTTGGCTGGTCCTGGCCCTGCAGTGTCTCTGGGTCTGGGCCCCATTGCTTTCCAGGGATGGGATTCCAAGTCCATGGCTCTGCTGGCAGGATCCTTTCTTTAAAATGTAGGCCATGCTCCCAAGGCTCTGTGCACTGCAGCCCATACTATATCAGACACATAAAGAAGGCACTCAACTGTAGATCACAAGGTCTGAGATGTGAAACAGAGCCACAAGGGTTTGCTGAGAATTATAATTATGATCTTTTGTAGAAGAAAACAGCTGTGATTGCTAGCATATTAGAGTAAAAGGAAGTGTTTGAGAAAAGAATTATACAGGAGGCCTGGAAAAACATTTGTGGGTGGCAGAACTGTCACTGATTTGGTTGGGTTAGGGTGATGTTTTGACTATCAAATGGTGCATCTTGTACAGTTCAGTATAAGTCAGTAGACCTCAGTGAAGCCATTTTTGAAAATTATGTTCCGCAAAGTAACAAAAGCAACTATTGAAAACAGTAAAACATTTTAGGAGTGGAATTTTTTCACTCTCAGGGTCTTGCATTGCCTCCTTAAATTTTATTAAATAGCTACAAGGAGATGTAATTGATATTCAAATATATATACAACATATATCTAATATAAACTATATTTAGTTTGATCACATGCATACAATCACAAAACTATCAGCATAAACAAGGTAATAAGCAGAGCCATCACCTGCAGAAGTCATACTTCAACTGTCCTTTATATTGGGGAGAGAAATAACACTTTGTTGTGGTGTGGACTAATCAGTAAAGTCAATAAGAGTAAAAGTTATAGGTATAGGTTATAAATTAATATTGGTTATTTAAAGCAATTGCCGTGGTAAAACTACCTGATTACTTGTAACAGTTCCCTCCTTGCTGGAGTAGCAAGAATGGAGTCACTATGGCTATAGGAGCAGGCAGGTGTGGCTATAGGGACCCCATCTCAGCTATTCTAGACTCCACCTTAGTTTTTCTGTTACTACTCTGTGAAGAGACAGCTGCAGAATCCATTTCTGAGAAAACAAAATGAAAGCTGTTTTCTGCTAAATTTAAAATATATATATATATATATATATATATATATATATATATATATATATTGTCTTCTGTACTTTGTACCCCACAAAATGTAGTCAACCCAGGATTTGATGGTCTTGGTGAACTATATGACTTTGAAATAGATTCATGCCCCCACTGACCACCTGCTTGAACCCAGGATAAGGTTGTCTAACACCTTTCTAACAACCCAAGATGTGGTTGTCTGAGTTGCTCTACTAACTGCTGTTTTAGCTTCTGTGATTGGCCTGCTTGCATGCCTCTAAGGAAAGTCCCTGAGCTATGATTTTCATTCTTAAATTCCCAAGACACAAGCCAGGAAATTGCTGTTCTCCCACAGAACTTCAGTCTCTAAGGGAATCAGTCCCTGGCCAGGTGATAAACTGTCCAATTGTTTCAAATTCAGTCTGTCAGTGTTTTCTTAGTGGTCTCCTTTTAACAACTTAAATGGCAATTTACCATATGAGACATATTTTAAGTGTACAATACAGGATTAATTACATAAAGTGCTGTACTGTAGATATCAAGAACATTTTCATCTTACAAACTGCATCCTATACCTACTGAAAAACAATACTTAGGGACTGGGTTTGTGGCTCAGCGTACGTAGAGCACTCACCTTGCATGTGCAGGGCCCTGGGTTCGATCCTCAGCACCACATAAAAATAAATAAAAGAAATAGAGGTATTGTGTCCAACTATAATTAAAAATAAATAAATAAATAAACATAAAAAAGAAAAACAATACTTAATTTAAATAACAGCAACAATTCAGGAGCCCTGCCCAGCAGTATACTAACAAGAAAGGGGCTGAAGAGCCCTGAGGTACCCACAATGGCACATGCCAGAACAGGCAACACAAGGGTAGCGGCTGTAGGGCACAATATGGTAGTGCAATAGTCTGGTGGGGAACCAATGTTGAACAAAAGCAGAAGTGTCAGAAGAGCATGTGCAACACGATAGCATCAATAGTGATGCCACAAAGTAGCTCCAAGGATGGCTCCGCTGCCTAAGTATTCAGGTTCCATCCAGCATGCATACCCCCACTTCCTAGAACAGGGAAAGGGAGGCCAAGACACCAGGGTGATGGGTCAAGGCGAAGACGCCTCCTGTGCACAGAAGGCGGCTTAGGGAGACGGCAGTGCTGTCCACTGGCCCGTCCTTCCCGCATGAGGTGCAGGGCTCGCTGCCGTCCATTCGATGTCCTGTCCTCATGGGGTCAGGAGGGTGACTAGGTGCTGCCAAGGCTTGGTGCCCCAG